TGTTTTGAGACAGGGTTTCCCTGTAGCCCCAGCTGTCCTGGAACTCACTATGTAGACCAGGCTGGCCTTGAACGCACAGAGATCCGCCTGCCTCTGCCTCCCAAGTGCTGGGACTACAGGCGTGAGCCACCACACCTGGCTGGAATAGGGAAATCTTAACCAGGAACTGCACATCAGTTTCAAACACAAAACCTAATTGTAGAAAAGCTCTGTCCAGAAGAGAATTGAGTTTTTAAAAAAATCATTTTAAATTATGTGTTTATATGTGTGTCTGTCAGTACATGTGAGTGCTGGTGCTCACAGGGCCCAGAAGACCCTCTGAAGCAAGAGTTACAGGCAGTTGTGAGTCACCTGATGTAGGTGCTGGGAATCAAACTCAGGTCCTCTGGATGAGCAGTATGTGCTCTCAATCACTAAGCCATCTCTCCAGACCAGGACTGAGGAAAATTATAGCATTAATCTAGACACTTATACAAAATGTGCACTACATGTATTCAGATTACAAGACACAGATACTAATAAGTTTAAAATTAAATAACCTTAGAGTAGTACAATCAGGAAATTCATATTTAAATGTTTTCTTCAATATTGTCACTGTCATTAACTACAAAAATATTTTCAAAAAGTTAAACGAAATGATTATACATCTGTGAGCTACTGGAACCATACATGAACTGTGATTTCTGATCTTACAAATGCCTCATCTATGGCCATAGCACCCTGAATGCCCAATCTTATCTGATCCCAGAAGCTATGCAGGGTCAGGCCTGGTTAGTTCTTGGATAGGAGACAAATACCTCAGAAGCTCCCTTCCCAACATGGTGCTGTGCTCTCACTTACCATTTGTAATACTGTACACTAAATAGAAAGGCATCTTTAAGAACTATTTAAAATCTACCTTTGCATTTCAAATTCCACTGAAAAAAATGGCAACCGTGTGACCACCTATACACGCAGTTATTAAGAACCTCAAATAATAACCAAAAACATCTCAACAATTTCCTGATTATATAGATTATATAGTTTATGTGTACCACATGCTTGCAGGTGCCCACTAAGGTCAAAAGGTATCAGTTCTCCTGGAACTATAGCCATTTGTGAGTCACTGATGTGGGTGCCAGGAACCAAACCTGAGCCCTCCACAAGCAGAGCAAGTGCAACCACTGAGCCATCTCTCCAGCCCTCAGGGAAAACTGAAACAGAGCTAAAATTTTTAAATTAGTATTTTTTTTTTTTTTGGTCTTTTTGAAACAGGGTCTCCCTGTAGCCCCAGCTGGCCTGGAACTCACTATGTAGACCAGGTTGGCCTTGAACTCACAGAGATCCACCTGCCTCTGCCTCCCGAGTGCTGGGACTGAAGGCGTGTGCCACCATGCCCGGCTAAAATTAGTATTTTTAAAGATGTATTTACTTTTATTTCATGTGTATGAATATTTGCCTGCATGTACATATGTGTATCATGTTTGTGCCCGGTGCCTGCAGAGGCCAGAAGATACCCTGGAACTGGTATTACAGATGGTTGTTAGCTGCCATGCGGGTATTAAGAACCAAACCCAGGTCTTCTAGAAAAGCTCTCTCCAGCCCCCTCAAAATCAGTATTTTATTTTAATTATTATTATTTCTGGTCTTTTTGAGACAGTCTCCTTGGATCCACAGCTGACCTAGAAAACTCACTATGTAGATCACGCTGGCCTCAGTCTCACAAAGATCTGTCTGCCTTTGCCTCTCAGGTGCTGGGATTAAAGGCATGCACCACTATACCCAGAAAAACTAGTATTTTAAAACTAAATCTACCTGCTGGACTGTGAGCCTTATGTCAACTTCTCTGAGCCACAGTGATCCACTCACTAGAATGGTATCTGAATAGTCAAAACTCACTGACTACCTACTGTGTGCCAGGCATTAGATACCAGGTACTTTACAAGATGCTTTTTCTTAACCAAAAAAGAAGTTTTTGGAAGTAGTTACTGTTACCCCATAGGCCAAGATGATAAATAACTGGTGGTGGCCACAGCAGAGGGGTGTGGACGAGGGAGTCTCTAACTGCAGAGGCTTGGCCCTTCTCACTGGAGAGCAATGGCCAGACCTATCGGCAATCAGTTAAACTCCTACAGACAGCACAACAGAATGGTGTGTGAGAGAGAGAAGGCCAGCACCACCCCACCACAGTGGGTCTCCTTTGCAATGCACACAGGTACACATACATGAACATACATGAGGGGTGTGTGTGTGTGTGTGTGTGTGTTTGTATACAGGATTTTTGCTTTGTAGCCCTGGCTGACCTGGCACTCATAATCCTCCCTCAGTCACCCAAGTGCACCACAGTGCCAGGCTCTTTTCTCTCAACTAGACGTTAAACAGTTGCTAATGCACAGGGGTCTGCCATTCAGGACTCTCATGATTCCCCACTAAAGTACAAAGCAAATCTATAAACAGGAACAGAGTGAACAAGTCCTGTCTGGAAGAAGCTGGAATTTCATCAACTCCAGTGTGCACCTCTCCTGCAGGTTCCATGCCTTACAGACAGTCTGTCTCACAGATGTTCTGTGACATAGGACAGTGACCTGGAGCTACTTCTTTTCAAGCTTGCAGTAGGATGCTACCTCTGCTACCTGACAGGGAAGTATGGGAAGCTGCTCCACCTCCCTGGACTTCCTCTATCTCATTTAGGATAAAGAAATTCTGCAAGGCCTGGAACTGAGAAGCAGAGGGTCAGGGTCACCTGCTCTCCTCTACTCCTGACATCCTAAATCAGGGCTGTCTGCCTTCCCCCATGCACGCATACCCTAAGTCAGGTTTCCTGTGGGTCCATGTTTACATCATGATTAAATATTCACAATCATATAACTGAGGAGAAACATTACCTGAAGCATTGTTGAAAAATGCCTTATTGCTTCGTCATAGAGACCACTGCCGACCAACACATAAGCAATAGCTGTGGGACAAAACAGAAAAGCATGAGAGGAAAGAAGAAAGATGCTCAGGCTGCAAGTAGACTGCCAAGTCCCAAAAGGCAGCCTGAAGACTGGGTACCATTAGGGAACCTAGGAGCTAGTGGAGAAGATACCCTGGGGAAAGTCAAGGTTGAAGCATGGTGGTGCACCCCTGTAATTCAAACACTTGGGAGGTAGAAGCAGGAAGATCAGAAATCCAAAGCCAAGAGTCTGTCAACATAAGAACCTACCTCATAATAACCCCACCCTCCAAAGAAAAATTAATAGAACACCACAGCAACATAAATGCTTCTGGGTATGTTCCCCAAAATCAAACGATAGCTGCTTTTACCCTGGTTTATTTGAAAACTACAGTCATATTCATATTCAGAAAGCTAAAAAGGGACACCATCAGACAGCAAGGCTTCAGGGAACCAGAGACTCGAAAGGTAAGCTCAGGAATGGTACAGGGGCAGCACCAGCTCCTCAGGCACTGGCACAGTCCTGGCCTTTAGGAGTGGAAAGCTCTTACTCCCTAACTGGTTGCAAGGGGGCCCAGTGCCATTTTCACTTCTACCTGCAGGCAAGGGAATGAAGTAGGTATGGTTAAAGGGCTGCCCAAGAACAGTGGCAGTAAGCAAGGACACATGAGCAGGTCCCTGCTCCACAGTCACCTTCTCCAGCCCTGTCTCACAGAGCTACCAGACTTGAGGTTTGCTAGACTTGATTCTAGCCAGCTGTGTGGGCACAGGAACCCTGGTCACCTCAGACTCCCTGGGTCTTGCTTTAAACCAGTGGAAATTTTCCTTAAAGATTCCTCTCAGACAAATATTTTAGGATTTCCTGTCTTCTCATAATTGGCAATACCAGCTAAATGAACAAATAAACAAGGGAATGAAAATGGAACAGAGCTTCAGGAGACCCTGAACGTATTTAATCTGTCCATGGCCTGGCTATCAAATTCCACTCAAAATGAAAACAAATGTGGTCTCGAATCTTACCATATCTACCCACAACTTCAAAAAAAGACCCTAATAAATAATTATCAGGGTCTAAATTTTATCATGGGAATCCAAGACATAAAAGAAAAACAAGACTAGCTGTAATTCTAACAAATTTCTACTTACCAGCAACTCATCTCTGGGCAACACCTCTGTGTATAACCTTTTTTCCCAAGAAAAATACCTGTCACACAGAAGATCCTAGCCCAGCCTAGGCCCCTCACTACTAGGGCCTGCTGGATTGTTTCTGAGAATACAGCAAGGCAGGCTTGTACCAGGCCCTTAATCATTTAATAAATGGATATCAACTGAACAGAAACCAAAGACTTCACAAAAGACTAACTCTAATGCCTTAAAGCATAATTGTTCTCAAAGTTACCTCAAAGATGGCACCAAAAGAGTGGAGGCACTTTCAAAACAGTCCCCATGCTCTGCAGTGGCAGAGTGGAGTCAGCAAAGTAAGGGCTCTTAACAGAGCATGGACAGACAATAAGGGTAAAATGATCACGTGTCCATCAGATGAGAATCTCCCTGAGGCCCCTCCTGCAACAGGAACATGGATACAGCTGCTCTGCCCAGCCCTGTACTCATCCTGGGTCTGCTCTGGACACATGAGCTTACTAAGCAATGGGCAGATGTCACATTACACATTTGATGCTGGTGAACCTCACCTGTTTTGTTTTTGTTTTTCTGGTCTTTTTTGAGACAGGGTCTCCCTGTAGCCCCAGCTGGCCTGAAACTCACTATGTAGACCAGGCTGGCCTTGATCTCCCAGAGATCCACTTGCCTCTTCCTCTAGAGTGCAGTGATTAAAGGCAAGTGCCAGCATGCCCAGCTCTCTGCCTGTTTTAAAGCATGTCACAAATGAGTCAAACCACAAGGCTAGTTTTTAGACCAGAATGAATTTAGCCTTTCTACATCAAGCCTGAGACCCAATAATGGTGCTCAGGCTTCACGTGGGTGATAAACACAGGCCTAACTAAGCCATCACACAGATACCTGGAGATGCTGTTCTGAGACTATCTGTTACTTCCTCACTGTTTATGCTGATCATTTCCATAGAAACCTAGGGCCGAAATAGTCCTTATGGACCACTCTGTCTAAACATTTTCTTTTCTTTCCTTCTACCTTTTTTTAAAGGCAGGGTCTTCAGGGCCAGAGAGGACCTGGGCTTGATTCCCAGCACCCACATGAAGACTAACAACTGTCTGTAACTCCAGTTCCAGGGGAATCCAACATCCTCTTCTGATCTCTGCGTGGATACTACATGACAAGGGTGCACTTACCATACACCAGGCAATACACTCATACACATTAAAAAAAAAAAAAAAAAAAAAAAAAGGCAGGGTCTTCAGAATCAGGTTGGTCTCAAACTCACTATTTAGCCAAGGACGACCTTGAATTCTTGATCCTCCTGCTTCCCCTTAGTGTTGAGATGACACCACACCCAGTTTATTCTGTGCTGGGGATCCAACCTAGGATATTGTGAATACTAGACAAGCACTCTACCAACTCAGCCACATCCCCAGGCCCCACCTAAGACTTTGCTTGAGGTATGGCATGGAGAACATCGGGAAGGCTCAACATGCTGGTCTCCACGTCCCTTCCTCCCACCCGTCTTCCCATACAGCATTCAATCACGGGCTCTGGGCAGATGCTATGGAATGTTCCTAGATTCAAGTCTTACCTAACTCTTCATTGGTGCTGTCATTGTCAGTAGCAAATGGGAATCTCTTCTGCTCTGCAATAGACTTGGCCTGGCTCTGAAAAACAAACATCTACTTTATCTACTGACATACACGATAGAACCCAGCATAAAAGTCCGTTTTTTTTTTTTTTTTTTTTGGTCTTTTTGAAGACAGGGTCTCCCTGTAGCCCCAGCTGTCCTGGAACTCACTACGTAGACCAGGCTGGCCTTGAACTCACAGAGATCTGCCTGCCTCTGCCTCCCGAGTGCCGGGATTAAAGGCGTGCGCCACCACGCCTGGCCCTAAAAGTCCGTATTTTTGAGATGTTAGAGCTGAGCCTGAGCTCCATGGAAGCAGGAATGTATCTTCAGGGTCTGCTGACTGTGTTTCAAGAACATGGTCTGTGGGTGAGCGCTTTGCTTCTTGCCATCACCAGTACTTCCATTTCCAAGAGGAAGTACCTCTCCAATTTTTGATTTTGTGAGGACCAGCCTGCTAGCTGCTCTGTGGCCCCTGTGTTCACACAGGCTCCTCAGTGCCTTCGATTATGTTGGGAATATCACACTGTACTCACTGGTTCTCCAGAGTGGCTTGAACACAGAACACCAAGTTTTAAAGCCTCATACTATTTCAGGAACAGTAGCTAAAGGTTGTACTAAGAGGATGACAGAGGCCCACAACATCTGACTCCCCAGCATGTGACAAGCATGGCCACATCCCACATTCAGCAGCAGGTGGCCCTGAGGAAACAGATATGCAGATATGAGCACCAGAACAGGGACAGAACTTACCAAAAAGCAAGGAAATGAGTTGCCTTGGAACTGAGTTTTTTTTTTTTTTTTAAAGACAGTATCTTGCTAATTTTTTTTTTAAAGACAGTATCTTGCTATGTAGCCCTTTCCTGCCCAGCACACTCTATGAGGCCCAGGTTGGCCTTGAACTCAAGGCACTCCTCCTACCTCAGCCTTGCTATCTTCCATGCACTGTTTATCTGCTATACAAATAGACGGTCCTAACCAGTCTGGAAACAGATCAGGTCTGGTAATATAAACACCTGGCATCTCTCCAGAGACTCTGATGGACAACAGTAAGTGAAGAGTGCCTGAATTCAAACCATCCCAGGGGGCTCAGTGGTTAAAGGTACTTGCTGCCAAGCCTAACCCAAGTTTTATCCCCAGAACTCATATGGTGGAAGGAAAGAACTGACTCCCTCAAGTTGTCCTTGACCTCTACATGTGCACCTTGGCAAACATGCATACACACACATACACACACACACACACACACACACACACACACACACACACACACACTAAATAAAGAAATGTAAAAAGAAAGTCTTAAAACAACCCCAGGGTGGAGTTGCCACAGACATGACTCAAGGTCCTAAGCATGTATGCAGAAAAAGCAAAGTCAGAAAAGACTAAAGATTTGATACCCAGGCATCTAAGAGTTGGAGTCCAGTCATGGCTCCAGATCTTTTCTTTTCTTTCCTTCTCTCTCTCTCTCCCTCCCTCCCTCCCTCTGTCTCTCCATCCCTCTCTCCCCCTCTCTCTGAGACAGGGCCTTATTATGTTGCCATGGTTGGCCTCGAACTCACTATGCAAACCAGGCTGGACTTGAACTCAGAGATCTCCTTGCCTCTGCCTCCCCAGTGCTGAGATTAAAGGTGTGCCCCATCATACCTACTCAAAGCACCTGTTAATCCATAGTACAGAGGCCCACTGGCACACATGATACTAAATAACACAGTAATGTACATGTCGTGTGACCAATAAACCATTCTTTCCAGCCATAATGAACTGTGACTTACTGGGTTTCATAATTCAAATGATAAGATTAGAAGACCTTCTCTTTATAACCCTCATTCTTTCAAAACCCTCATTAATGCTCAGGTGCAGAGCAGTAGTTGGCACAAACAGGACACAGAGCACCATCTTAGGAGGCTCACAATGGGAGCACAGGGAAGTTCCACCACCACAAGAATGTTTGGCATCCTGTCTTGTAGCAAAACCTCACCAGAATCTTTTCTGTGTTGAGAGACAGCAGGGAGTCACAGGGTGGTGAGCCTCTGGGTTCGCAGTCAGACTCATGGAAGTTCAAGAAGGACGAGTCTGCAAAGCAAACACTGTGTTACTCACTCACCTCCAAGGTGAGCTTTTGGTGTTTCATCATAAGCTGAAATCTTACATTCCCACAAAACCAAAATAACGGCAAGTGTGAGAAACCCCGAGAGGCATCCTGTGCTCAGCTATGTGGATTTCAGTTTGCAAGTGCCCTGCCCACCCCTCAGAGTGTCCTGCTGCCCATCCCAGTCAGGAGCAGGGCTTTCAGACTGGACATGAGGATCAGGGGGAAGCCATGGCTTCTCTGAAATAGTGGGCAGAACCAACACCTGCCTACAACCCAGGTATAATTAGCCACTGGGGAGCAGTTCATTAGATGAAGACCCTGTGGCAGCATCTGCCTTCGGTTTAACACAGACACTTACGTGTGCGAGCACACACACAGAGCCAAACATGAAAACTGAACACTAGAAGACATGCATTAAAGGTCCAGGGTTCAAAATACAGAAACAAGTCCTACAGCTCAATGGAGAAAGAATTCAAATATGGGCAGTTCTCCAAAGGTACACCAATGCCACAGAGCACAAGGGTTGCCATTATTAGAGATGAAGTCTGAGCTGTGATAAGGACCTCCTCACAATCCATCTGATGGCTATTTTCTAGAAAGAAGGAAGGAAGGAAGGAAAGAAAGAAAGGAAGAAAGAACATGGAGAAATTGGAAACTCTGGTAGGATTCCAAAAAGGTGCAGCCATTATGGAAACCAAGTTGGTGATTCCTTTAAAAATTACATGTAGAGGCTGGATGTGGTGGCACACGCCTTTAATCCCAGCACTTGGGAGGCAGAAGCAGGTGGATCTTTGTGAGTTCAAGGCCAGCCTGGTCTACATAGTGAGTTCCAGGACAGCTGGGGCTACAAGGAAACCCTGTCTCAAAAAGACAA